AATCAAAATCACTGCCTGATGGTGGTTTTTTCAGAAACCTACAATTCTGAGACCCCTACTGAACTCCTGGTTTTATTTGTCCAAAAACAAACCTGGATCTGTTTCCTCATGTCAGATACTGTCACCACTGTACACATGCACATGTAAGCTAGAAACATGGACTCACTCCTCAGGAGCTTCTCTCTATCTTCTCCTACTCGTGAACTAAGGCCAGGTCCTGTCACCCCACCTTCTCTGTCTCAAAAACCTCCACTACTCTCTGTCTTCCCTCTTGTCCCTAGTCCAAGCCCCATACACTGTCCAACTTTCTGAGTGGCCTCCTTGATCCTCTAATTCTTGTCTCAACCATTGTCTCAGAGACGAAGTACTGATCTTTGTAAAATGCAAACTAGGACAGATGTTACTGTTCTCCCAAGGATCTCCTTGTTCTCAATATTATGATAAAATCCAGTTTATTTCACTGCAAAAAAGTTAAATACTCCATTTTCGGGGGGCGGTTCTGTAGTCTAGACTAGCAAAGAAATGCAACCTAAAAGGCCCCAGTCCACACCTGACTACACGATCTGTGTTTACCTTAAACTGCAGCATTTCATCCGTGTGGTAGGTCACTTGCAGTCGGAGGTGGTTGACTGGTGTGGACGGGAACGCGTGGCTATATGGAGATGCTTTTAAGGAGATGTCAGCTGTGACCCCATGGGATTGATCCTGTATATTGCTGACTGAGTACAGATCACTGACAAAATAGCAAAAGGGGACCCCGGAAGAGCTGGATTCCTGCAAAGTAAAGTTAGTATCGCAGATCAGCAGGAGCTCTTCAGTCACCTACTGAAAGAGCTAGAAAAGGCACCAATATGGAGAGAAGGCCACCACTCCATCCATCATTCAGGCCTGCATCATTTGAAAGTAGCAGACGTCCAAATCTCCACTCTCCAGAAAACATACTTGGTGGGGAACCCTGCTGCTAGGGTTGTAGTCCTCCATGTCTGGATAGCTCTAAGGCTAGGTGCCATATGGAACGACTCCCCTTCTCAGCAGGGGGCCTCCTGCTCTCTTCCTGACTTACCTGGAAAGTGCCGCCAAGTCTGGATGCCTGACCTTATTTGGAACATGACATTTGGCATAGTTACCTGGAGTAAAAACTACCCCCAGGTTTTTTCTATATGATAATCAGGCATTGCCTGGTAGTGGGATGATAGGAGCCCACTGCCACATGTAAATAAAGCATACTATGAGCACCTATCAGCTGAGGCATTGGCTACTGCCTCCACTCTATATTTTCCCTAAGCACCACTGAATAAACGGAGCTGTTTCACTGACTCTAGAGCTGTCTCACTGAGTCTGGAGCTGTTTGCATCACTGAACCTGCCTCCCCGGAAGGGCTTTCTTCCGTCAGTGCTCATTGGCCATCCTGACCCCGCTCGTCGCTTCTGCTCCCTTTGTCCTCTTGTAGCGGTGGCCAATGACCCACGAGGAGAGGGAGCAACCCAACACATACTTATTTAAAACAACCCACTTCCATCCTCCCGACTCCTCACATCTCATCTGGATCAGACTCACTTGGAAGTCTTTTCTTTCTGTGAATTCTACTAGGCACATAGGGAGTGATAGCGTGCTCATGAAGTTGTAGATGACATTGAGAGGATTCAACATGCTTACCTCCCAGACGCAGCCACGGGCAGTGCACGTTTCCTTAGAGGCACCATGCTCATCTGGATAGCAGTCTATTTTTTCCTCATCTCTTATGTCATGCTCCTCCCACTCCATCACGTATGCTTCTCCCAGAACAAGATGGATATTTGTAATGATGGCAACCTGAAGGGATAGAAACATTACAGGAGAATTATCCTCAAGACAAAGATCTTGCAAGATCTGAACTCCATTTATGAAACTTAAATAGAAATGAACAGGCTTTCAACAATGATAGGAACATATTACTGCAGTTTACATGGAGACAGTACGTGGGGGGGCAACAGAGATGGCACCACTACTCAATCAAAATCCTCTCCATTACAGTGCAGAAACAGACCAAGTTAGAACTGCTAGGATCACCCTCTTTCATTCCTTCCTTCTAACACTTGATCCCTATCGATTTTCTCAGAAAGGCTCTCTCCTACTCTTTCCTGTTAAGCTATTCTTGTTCATCACCTCCCAGAGTAATGTTCCCCTTTAGTATGGAGCCCAGAGAAGAGAATAAGAGTGACCTGGATTCTAATTCCCATCTTCGCTGGAATCTTAGATACAATTTCTCAATGCTTTTGGTCTCAGATTTATCCAGTGAAAGCTGGAGGTAGGAAATGTCATATCCTTCTACTTCCAACATTTCATCCTCATCATTTCCCAAGTCCAGGTACTCAAACTGAAAGTCTGTTTTGAATCCCACTCATTAATTCAAACGCCTAAAGTTTTTTTTCCATTTTTCTTGTATTTGATGCTTCTTAAACAGCACTTGCATAGTTAATTCATTGATCTGGAGCAACACTGTCACCTTTTGAGAAAGGTCCTCCTTTCCCAGTCTTAAGCATCCTGTCTTTCCCTGCCCTAGCAGTCCCCATCCCCCATCCTCTCCAACAAGGCCTTGATTCAAGGACCATTGTTAGGCCCTTTGATAATTGAATCAAATATGGCTGTCTCATTCGGGCACCTAGGATCCTCCCAAATCTAACAAGTTTCCTCCTGTCTAAAATGATTTCCTTTCAAAAGTGAATGCCCCCATGCCAGGTATGGAATCACAGACTGATAATGTGAAACTATACTGAGACCTTGAACTGGCCTCTTCTTAAATCTTTACCCAGACGGACGCCTTCTAGGAAAATGGGGCCATTGAGGACTACGCTATTCATCTTCCTTGTGCAGAATGTGCTCATCTTCCCCAGTACTTCAGGTTCAAATACCAGAGCTCTCAGTAACTGAAGCTTTAATCAAGGCAGTATAACTGTGACCAGGAAAGGAAATACAAGTTCACTTGTTGGCCACCTGCTTCTTTCTTGAGCGAATGGCCTGCCCCTCAGCTTTACTTCTGCCTTCCTGTTTCTTCTCTCTATTTTCATTATCTTGTTTTTCATTTTACCCGTCTCCTGAAATAGGGCCATTGTGACTGGAACTGAGTAGCCACTTCTCATCGTGAAAAGGTAAAGACCTCAGTCCTGACAGCCTGCAGCTGCTGAACCAATGCCAACAAGTTTTCGACTTTGAACTTTTAATTGGAGGGGAAAAAAACCTCTCCAATTTGTTTTCCATTTTGGGCTTCACGTGCGGCTGGTGAGCCCCACCTGAAAACCCATCTTTCAGGTCTAGTTCCATCCCTGCCTCTTCTAGGAAGCGGGACTCAACTATTCTTTTGGGCTTTGAACATGAGATAGGACTGAAGACAATGCCATTGCCAACAGCTATCCCAGTTAGCAGCCACTGGGCAGCCCCATCAACTTCTTTCTCATCAGAGGCTTGTTGAGAATGTATATGTTAGAGAAGAATATGTGCTATGTCTCAATAAGTTTAATAAAAGAAGGGCAAAAATTCACTAAATAAAAGCTCTTTGAACATTTTATTCCTAGGACTCCTCTCTACCTTCACCTTTGAGTACCAGCCATCACTTTCAGAGGCCTTTTCCTCTGATCCTGTCCCCACATCAGACAGAGAAGATCAAGCACAGAAGACAGTGCAGAGAGCAAGGATGGAAAGGCTGGAGGCATGGTGGCTCTGGCTGCCTCCTCATTTCCGCCTTCCTCCTCAATAGTAAGACATCCCCAGCGAGTCTCAAAGCTGCTCTGGTTCTTCAGAACCCACGTCCCCTTCGTGAGAAGGAACACCATGAGACCACGAATGCTTCTGAAAAGTCTCTGCAACAAAACTAATTCTTACCTTCATGTTAGGATCATATGTGATTTGAGGAGACATTTGACTGAGGACATTATTCTGTTTCACTGTAACATCACGAATTGCCTGTGTCCCAAGGATTTTAATTTCCTGAAATGCTAACTCATTGGGATCCTTGTAGTTTGATTTTGAAATAGTCACGTCCAATCGGTTCTGAAACACAACAAGCATAATTATTCACAAAGGAATACTTGTAATACGAAGATTCCTTAGACCCTCAAATGCCCCAACCTAGACCAGACCCTCGGCTGCTCCGAATGTCTCTGAGCTTTCTCTACTAATATGTGTACATGGAGTGCAAAATTATTTTCAAAATGCCAGTTGGGGGGAGTGGAAGACATAGACAGACATTTTAGAGAATTGTATTTTAAAATACCAGCTAACTTGCTTTATTAATAAAATTGCCTCTTTTGGAAAATATGGCTAATGAAATTATTGGGAGTTAAATCATAAATGGAAATGTATTCATTCATGGTCAATACTGCCCATTAAAATATAAATATAATTGTATACATACAATAGCATATGTGTATAATTGTCAGACAAAAGCCCACATAAGATTCACAGGATTTATGATACTCACTTGGGTGGCAGAAAATTCACATAAAAGGTACGTGTTTTTGGCCACGGTATCTGAAAGAAGAAAGAGATGTCAGACTGGAATGGTTACCACAGATGAACAAGTTCTACTTTCTTCTCCTTAAAACTGACTTTTCTTTCTTTGCATGTCTGAAAATGCTTTATTATATCTATGTATCATAATGCCTTTATATCTGTGTATCACAATGTCTTTGTTCATTCACCGCTCAGACACCTTGACTGTTCTGAATCTTTGCTATTCTGAATAATGCTGCAGTGAACATGAGAGGGCCGGTGTCTTTGTGGTTTACCATTTTCATTTCTTTTGGACTGTACATGCCCAGGAATGCGCCTGCTGAGTTATATGGTAGCTCTATTTTCCATACATGAACTATCGATGCTGTTTTCCATAATGCCTATACAGATGTCCATTTCCTCCCACAGTGTATAAGAATTTGTTTTGCACATCTGTTGCCTATGCTTTTGATGTCATATCCAAAATCACAATGCCAGGAACAATGTCAAAGAATCTCTTCACTAGATTTTTTTCCTAGGGGTTTTCTATTTATATCTGCTGGGAATTCTTTTTCACAACTGTCAAGATGTGGAAACAATGGGCATATCTATCAGCAGATGAATAAAAGAATCATAGTGAATGCTCAGAATGAAGGACTCTTAGTCATAAAAGAAGCCCTGCATTGTAAGAACAGAGATGAACATGCACCATATTATACTGTGAGAAAAAAGTGAGAGGAGAAAATAGAAAAAATGTACTGTCTCAGCTTTATACAGGATGTAAAAAATGAATTCATATAAACAGAGAAGAAAACAGTATTCTCCAGGGGCTGGGTAGAAGGGGTAATGTGGAAAAAGTGCTCAGAGTAAAAACAATTATAAGAGCAAATTCTGGAGAGCTGATGCTGTCATTACTGGCAATGCATTAATTAAATCCATTATGGTAATGATTATACAATACCTATATGCATGCATTTTTCAACCTGCATTTGTTTAATCTTTATTCTCAATTATTTTAAAATAATACATCTTCAATAGCTACATCTTGAAAATGTCAACACTGTGAACAGAGTCTGCAAGGTCATATACCTGCTGGTCTTCTCTTTAGTACTGTAACCTGGCAAAGATCCTTTCCAAGCGCTTCCAAGGCTGATGTCTCACGGAAATCTCCTTCCTAAGCTAGAGTCATAGAGTTGTTACTACACTAGAGACCACAAAACTGTGCCAAAGCACTGCTGGATGCAGGTAACTAGGAAAGCATGCACTTTTCCTCACTGACAAGGATACACTTTCACATCATCAGCCTTTGTTCATAAGGATTTGGGGGAAGATATTTACAGCACAGGTGAATTACAGAAGCAGTCATGAAAATGTGTCTTCCAGATGTCTATTAACAATAAAATGAGGGCCTATTAGATAGATATCATTCGCCAAGTGGAGCACAACCAGACACAAAAGTTTTCTGTCAGATGACGTTGTTAACGCGTCTGGTGAGATTTCACCTTCAACCAGATTCCAGATGTCTATTAACAATAAAATGAGGGCCTATTAGATAGATATCATTTGCCAAGTGGAGCACAACCAGACACAAAAGTTTTCTGTCAGGTGACGTTGTTAACGCGTCTGGTGAGATTTCACCTTCAACCAGCAGGGCTGAAGGGACTCAAAGACCCGGGTTTGCAGTGGTGATGTCCTCTTCCCAGCACTCACCCTTTGTTTCTCCATCATCCCAGAACAGCTCGCCTTTTGCTTCTTTGTTCTCATCCAGGGCAATGATAAGGCCAAGAGGGTTCTTCCGGCTGTGAGAGACGAGATTGACACAAGACACAAATCCTTAGGGCCTAAAGAATTTTGCCAAATAGTCTCATCAAATTTCAAATGGGAAAAGTTGACATCAGCAAATGCTTTGCTTTCCTTTGAATACAAAGACAAAATTGGCAGGCCCTTTTCTCTCTAGTACCAGCAATTCACAGGGGATGGAGATAGCCCAAAAGCTTAGTAATAAGCACAAGAAGGAGATAAGAATGTAAGCCCTGGGAATCAATATTGTGGCAATAGCTATAATAAAAACTGGCTGATGGGGCTGGAGAGATGGCCTAGTGATTAAGAACACCTCTCTTGCAGAGGACCTGGGTTTCATTTCCAGCACCCACATGGTGGCTAACAACCATCCTAATTGCAGTTCCAGGGGATCCGGCACCCTCTTCTGACCTCTGTGGGCATTTCACAACATGGGTGCACTTACATACATGCAGCACACTCATACACATAAAATAAAAATAATAAATGAAATATTTTTTTTAAAAAAACCAACTGTGGTTGAAACTGTTACTTAGCACACATTGTTAGAAGAGGAAGAAAGCTTACACAATAGTATTGTGCCAAGGTCTTTTTAGAGATCATACCCCTAGGAGAAGCATCAACAACTATGTTTTCCCTCCTAAGACATTTTTTACTCAGAAAGCAAAAACATCACTTTCCTTATTTGATTATCTTTTTGCCTTGAGAGAAAAACATATATGTCACAAGGAATTTGGAAGCAGTAGCACTCATCCTTCTGGAAACATTGGAAATTACACCTGAATTTAACTTGGACCTTTGAGAATGGAGCAGAGATATGGGGATATAGTTCAGTGGCAAAGTGCTTTTTAAATATGCATATCCCTTTGCCAAGGGTAATAAGTGAGAAGTCCAAACATTGTAAAATAGATGGCTACATTTGGGGACTCTAATAGCATGTTCTGAACATGGCTGGGTTATGTTTATTAAGATTCTCCAGGAGAACTGCCGTTAAAGTCAATCTGAAACCAGACTGCTGTTCTCGAACACTCTCCTCATGGGTTCAGACTTCAAGCAGGGGTGTAACAAGTCAAGGTTTTCATTTAAAGACAAGTTTGGTAACAGTATGAAAACAATCTGACATTAAACAGAAGAAAACAATTCGATTTTCTTTGTTTCTAGGTGGATTTTCATTAAAAGTCGATAGAAAATGGGGTTCAACAGAAAATACAGGGTTTTAGCATCTTAAGACCTCTCAGTCTATTCAAATAAGTTAATACTTTCAGGGATACATGATATAAATGTATAACTCTTCAGTACACATGGAATCTATTACTAAAGTCAATTAAGTATGAAGGGAGAATCAGTGATGTTGGTGGGAGGTTAGGGTTTGAATCGCATGAAGGAGATGATAGCTCAGTGCAGTGCAAGGAAGATTGTCAGTGGATCCAAATCAAGAAATGAAGATGTGTGAGCCAGGAACAGAGAACCACAGAGAGACTACCAGGTGAAGGTGGGCAGATGGCCAACTGACCAGGCTTGCCCATAATGGAGTCTTCTCAACACATGAGGCTTTCCCTGCTAAAACTGAACAGGCCTGAGGAAACCAGGAAGACTGCCCATCCTAGCTGCCAGTGTGTTTTGACACATCCAGAGAGGTTCAGGAAGGGAAAGCCGAGGTTAAGATCTTCCCAAAAACAATCAGAGTACTCCTCTAGATTAAAATGTCTTCAGGGAAGGCCAAAGACAATCCCAGGGGAGACACACCACACACTAGCATCTTTCCTCCCCATACTCTGTGTAGAGCATCCTCCGATCAACAGATGTTCCCAGAAATGCCCCCGTTTGCCAGCCCTGCACCCCTTAGAAGACATTCCAAGCAATACCTGACTGTTGTGGTTATGCCTGGCTGTTGTGTGGGGAAGATGTAGCCTCCTCGAAGGTGAAGTCCAATTTTGTCTCCAGGAAGTACCATCTCAGCGCTTTGCTTCCTCCATGTCAATTGGCCCCCCTGGCACAGGCAGATAAATCAAACACGTTGGCCTCACAGTATGTGGACCTCCATCAACCACCCACCTGGTGAGTTCTCTACAGAGTTCTCTTTTTCACTTAGCTGAATTACTGTCTTCCCAGACAATCAAACAAAAGGTAGAACTTTAGGTCACTTAAGGGTTTGTAAAAACACTTTTGCCATATTGAGCTTATTTGATATTTCTCATATGAACTGATACTTCTGAACAAGTAATCTGATTTTCAGTCAAGCTCAAGTTGCCCATGAGCCCTTTCAATATTTGATCATGAGAAACCCTCTGAGTCTAACTTATTGCTGAAGAAAGTACATTAAAGCATGTTAAGGGACAGGTTCACACTATGCAGGCTCTGCTGGAAATTACAGAAAATAGTAATAGAAACAGTCCCTAGTGCAGGGATGGGTGCTTCTGTCTCCAGAGAGGGATCCCATCTCTAGTAAGGCAGGTGTCATCTCAAGTTTAAGGAAAGTTCCAGGTACTTACGGTCTCATAATCATACCAGACAGCATCAGGCACATATGCCGTCACTTTCTCTGCACCCTAAAATTCAAACAAAACATTGTCTTCATGACAGCCTCAGAGGGGATGAAACAGATTTCTTACAATAGGAAACATGATCAGAGGAGGTAGACGTAGTTTTGGTTTCCTCTATTGTTGAACCATGCCTATCTTCTGTCTTTTACCAGGAACTCCAGGGGGGTATCACAAATGGCAGTGACCATAATTATGAATAATAAAAATTATGCTGAAATATATATTGTAGGAACAATTCCAGCTTTGTGTGGATTATCCCATTTAATCCTCTCTACAGCCCACAAGTTAGATACTACTATTATTCCTACCTCTGAAGATGAAAAGCCTGCCCAGTAACTTTTCTGGATCACACAGTCCTGCCTAACCAAGAAGATCATCTCACTCTGGTGAGTCTGGCTTTAGAATGAATGCTAGCCCCTGCTCCATTCTGGCTCCACATATGAGAGCAATAACTGTTTGACAACTTGATGAACCACAGGCTCACTCCCAAATCCACAGCAACAGCAAGTGCTTTTACACTGGTTGAGAACTTTGTCTAGAAGTAACTTCTAGAGAAGAAAACACGCACCAGATGTTCTACTCCCCAACACCACAGGACACTCCCCTCAAGGCTGCCTTACCCACAGATATCAGAAGAAGGTATGTAATAGAGAAGAGAGAAGGTCTGGGGAGGGGTTACAGGAACAGAAGCAGAGGCTGCCAGTCTGTTTCTGTGAGAAACACTTGCCTCATCCAGAACAGGAGTGATGAGGAGGCCTGGCCCCCATAGAAACTGTCGGTGTATATCCCAAGTGTTGCTGTCCTTGTAGAACCTAGAAGCAAAGAGATAGGTCACTGAGAGGCGGACCAATGCTCCTGGAAGCTCTCCCTACAATGTGTCCAAAGCATGCCGGCTACCTGAGAAAACACCCACAATCATTGTATGATACCAACTCTACCCCACTTCCCTCCATCCCCAGCCTCCTATTCTTCCCTCAGATTGGACAAATGTCCCTATTCCTGGATCTACACTAGGCAGGTCCCAGGCTGTAATTTTATTTGCTGCATCTCTCTTTTAAAAATAAGTAAAACAACCTATAAATTTTATAACTTCAGCTGAGTATCAAGAAAGTTGGAAGGATGAGTCTGTGACACAATGCCTATAACCCCATGTATTTGGGAATCAGAAAGATCACAAGTTCAAGTCCTGCCTGGGCTGCAGAGAACGTTCCAGGCCAGACTAAGGAATTTATCAGATCCTGTCACAAAATAAAAATGCTTTAAAAGAATTGTATACACAGCTCAGTGGTAAAGCACCATGTGAAAGGCTGTGGGTTTAATTCGCAGTCTCATCCCCTTCCCCAAACACGCCAAAAAATAAAGAACTGAGTCTGATAACAAAAATACCAGATAATATAAATTTTTAATTTTTTTCCACTTTAGGGTATGTGATTGATTTTTAACAAGTAATTCCAGATCAAAAAACGTACCCCAAAATGAATATGTAAGAGTTCTTATATATGCCTAAGGGCCTCATCTATTGCACACAAGAAAATTAACTGTAATTTGATAAGAAAAGGCTTTTGTGCAATTACTTGTAGACTCAAATCAGAGATTCAAATTGGCTGGCAAATAAAAATTTGGGGCTGGAGAGATGGCTCAGTGGTTAAGAGCACTGGCTGTTCTTGCAGAGGATCCGAGTTCAATTTCCAGTACCCACATAGCAGCTAACAACTGTCTGAAACTCTAGTTCCAGGGAATGCAATGCCCTCTTCTGACCTCCATGGGCATTGCATGACACAGGTGCACTTACGCACATGCAAACAATACACTCATACACATAAAATACAAATAATAAAATATTTTTTTAAAAAAAGAATTATGGAATTCTAGAGATACTTTGGGAGATTCTTGTTTGCTTACAACGAAGTTCCATAGTGCATTACAGAAGAGGCCATCAGAGTCCAGTTATCAGATCTTTCAAATTCAAAGTGAAGAGAGAGGGGTGAGTAAGTGGCCAAGCTCTTACACAACATATGCAAGGTACTGGGATTGATCTCCAGCATAAGGGGAGGGAGAGACATCTGGTGTCTGGAGGCACCAGCACTCATGTGTACATACACACAGACACACATGCACACATCACACACACACACACACACACACACACAAGAACTTAAATGAATTATCAGTTAATTGGTGGCAAAACCAAGAAAATTCCCTACTGCCTTGACTTCTAGTCTGATCCTCTCCCTAAAACGGAGAAGGCTGTAACACTTAAATTCACTTCTACAATAGTATCTTGACAGCAATAGCCTTATAAATACCAACTGGGTACTCCATTACACACACACGTACACACACACACACACACACACATGCGCACGCGCGTGCTGCTTGGACGGTTTTAATTTTCACTCTGATATTCAGACATAGTCATCATCACCCTGTTTGCATTACTAGAATTTCTGAGTTGGGAGAACTTACTCATGCAGAAGGGGCCTGGCTACCGTGTCCCCACGGCTGTGGGAGTGGTATAAGAGAGTGTAGAGGTAAGGCAGCAGTGTATAACGGATGTTAAGGTAGTGCCTGGAGGAATTCAACAGCAAGGAATCAGCTCCAAAGGAGGCAGGGTCCTGGTCCTAGAAGGAAAGAATTTACAATTGTGGGTTGGCTGCAGGAAAGCTGTGCGTACCCAGAGAATCCCAGACCCCACTCAGCACAACTAAGGGTTTCCCTGCTCGTGAACTGGGACCTAGGCTGCATACTGCTTCTGGGCAGTACATCTGACATGTGGGACCATGATGCCCAGAAAGCAGTCATTGCAACTTAGAGCTCACCCAGCCTCATTCACACTACAGAATTTCCCTGTTGAGAGAGTGCTTTTCAAGTAATATTGAAATGCTCCCCATTTGCATTCTTATAAAATGAGCAATGTAGATAAAGGAGAAGTTTTATAAGCCTCTTCAGAGTCACCCATTTCATTTTTAGTTTTCTGAAATTTAATTTTAAATTTTAGGATGAAACACTATCAGTTTTATGACATTTAATCTGCTCCACAGACCTTTCCTCCAGCTACCTTCTAATGGTTAGGTGCACGCCTGCTGCTCCCATATGAGTCCTTGAAGTTTTCTGGACAAGGTGTCTACATGAACTTCCCCAATTATGAGTTTTTGAGAGAAGGTTGCTATGCAACCAGTTAGCCTTGAAGACATGATCCTCCTGCCTCTACCTCCCAAGTAGCTGGGATTAAAAGTCAGTTTCAATCTTGAATGGCACCCGGGCATTTTATGATCAGCAGGTCCTAGTTAAGGGCAAATAGGGTACAAATTGGCATCTATGAGTTTACGGTATAAGGCTGACTTAGCAGCTTTCTTGGTGAGGATGCAGATAGATCAACCCTAATGAATACCAAATGTACTTTGTTTATATTTCCCAGCAGCCTTACCTTGTAACCTTGGCCGTTGTGATTTCTGGAAAATGGATAAAATGCCCCCAGCTGCATCCACCGCCTGCAGAGCTCTTCAGATGTGTCCAAGGTAAAGCCACATATATCTGCCCCCACCTAGGACACACAGACACATGTGTACCTCATTTCCATCGTCCTCCATTGCTTTCTACCAGGGACTTCTTTTTAAAATTTTTTATCGAGCTTTTGTAATTTCATTCAACAGTTCTTTATCAAATTTGGATCCCCTCCCCATCCATGCCTCCCATCCCCCCACCAGACTTCATGTATTCCGCCATACATGTTAAGCCCTATCCAGTCAAGCATTTGTACCCAGATGTCATTCAGTGTAAATTCGTCCACTAGAGTCTAGTCAGCCCATCTAGAGAGCATATATAAGGCATACTTTTCCTCATCCAGTAGCAATCAATCACCAATAGTTCTCAGTCTAGGGCTGGCCCACCACCATTTCCCTTCTCCTCTCTGGGCCCTGGTCTAATTGAGTTGACATGGGTCCTGTGCTCAATGCCACCATTGCCAAAAGTTCACATGTGCAAACTTCCAGTGGCCTGAAAGTTTCTGCTTCCCTGTGTTCATAAACCAGCCCTGGCCCCTACAATCTTTCTGCCCCCTCTTCCACCATGGTCAGTATCAGGGACTTCTTAACTGAACTGCGCGAAGACCCTTTACTGAGACTCAGTGTGGTCAGAATCAGCAGCTAGCTCAAGTCCTTACTACTGCTAGATCGATCGTATCTTGCCAGCCTTGATCTATTTTATTAAAGTGAGTACAATCACTTTCCGTGAACAGTAACTAGTAATACTGATAATATAATTTTACCACACACTTTTCAGAAGCCTAATTCTGAACATGTCACTCATTTCATCTCCAGGGTCTCCTTGCCATCCATCTTGTCAACTTTTTAAAACCTGGTTGCAACCAACCCTTTCAGCTATCTTCCCACTCCAGCACTACTAATCTCATAGACACATCAGCTAGCTAACCTTTTCTTGTGTTAATTTCTTAGTCTTAAAATGAGCTTCTCCCTTCATTAGCCACATTCTGAGGTTCAACTCAAGCATCACCTTTTCTACGAAGTATCCTTTGACTTCCTCCTATGACTGTGCCACTTATAACCTTATCAGAGTTAATATCTTTCTCAATTTTTATCATAATGTTTAATATATTAGCTTGTGTGCTTTTACCCTAGTTTTCTGTAATTATTTGTTTATTATATTTTTATGTCTCCTTTTATGGAATCATAAGCTCTTTCGGGGAAAATGTGTTCTACTACTGTATTTATGCTTTTTCATCATTCCCACGATATATACTTAACACCTTGAACACAGAAGGAGCTCAATAAATGTATGTGTTGAATTTGACTAAACAATGCCAAAGCTCCTCCAGTCCTGTAAATCTGTCTCTTCATCTGTGTACCAGATGCTCAGGTGTATTCTGTGTATGACATCTATCAGCTTTAGACTGGAGGATCTGTGCATTTGTATGTTTGTTAAACTTTAAGAATAAGAATATTCCAGGCACTATCAAGGCTGCACTTTCTATTTTCGGCAGGGCAGGAAAGGAGTCGTGCATCAGAGCCACAATGATTCTGATGGGGAACATGTTCACAGATGTTAAATCCTGAGGCCATGGCAGGCTTTATGGTTTGAAGATTTGTCAGAGGAAATTTCTGGGGATTGAAATTCATCAGAGATCTTGGGGCAGGGACTCACCATGGGGATTCCAAAGAGGTTGAATTCAAGCATGCCAGGGATGGACCACTGAAGGTCTTTCCAGGTGGCAGTATTATCTCCTAACCAATGGGCTGCAAACTTGCCAGAGCCCGCAAAGGTAGACCGAGTTAGGATGAAGCTTCTCTTATCAGGGAACACTGTCTTCACAGCTCTGGAAAGGGACAGAAATTAGAGGTTCGGTGTGTGATTTCAGCTGGTCTCAGAGCAGGGAAAACAGGAACAATATCAAGGATGTCCAAAACAAATACCTAGTCTCATCTCATTTTCTTCCGAAAGAGTTAGAAGTGCTGTTAGGCTGAGTCTGCATCACAAAGTACATTCATGCTTTGTTAGGTGTGTTTTGTGTTAAGGTGTTTTATAGATATTAACCTCATAATGTACAATCATTTCAAAACAGCCTTGAAAATGTTAATGATTAGAGGTATATGATTTTTCTAGAACAAAGGTGAAATCTAATTCAGCATAAATGTATATACATTAGTCTTTTTATCATAAAACTTCGGAAATACACAAAAGTGGACTTTCAACATTAGATTAGAAAGTTCAACTTGTAAGTAAAATCATTTTGATAATACTCTTTGAAAAGGCACTTTAAAATCATATATGAGTGTGTATATTTTGTAACTATAAGTGCAAATTGAACATAACTTAAGGTTAAAGATCTGCATGAGTATATAGAATTAAAACTTGTGCAGGACAGACTGGGGATGAATGTCAATGGTTAGAGCACTTGCCTAGCACATAGAGGTACTGACTTCAATCTCCAGCAGTGAAAAATTTGATTGCAGAATTTTTCAATTTCTTTTAAAATGACTGAAATGATTTGTATTTCTTTGTTAATCAATGAAATGTCTCTTTTACTCTTGTTTCTTTTTGTCACTGTTACAGTGAGTAGAAAAAATTCTCAACACGTTTTCCTCATTTTGGAATTTAATTCACATGAAGGTAAACAGGCAATGGTAGAAGCTTGCTAAGCAAAATCCAAAACCCTAAGGCCCGTGAACATCTACAACTTCCTTAATCCTTTGTGGTCTTCCATTCATTATAATCCACAGGAAAAGAAACTGTATAGGGAAAGGAGCCTAATTTTTTGTAGTATTTTAGCTATTTGATCCTGAGTTTCATAACATCTATTTTTTTACCATTTTCTATTCAATTATTTACTCATTTGTTATTTCATTTTATATATTCTACAAATACTTATCAGATTTCTTCTCCATGTGCCAAGCAGTACTTCATACACTCACTAGCAATAACCATATTGTTTTAAGATTTATGTTATTTTTAATTTTGTATATGGGTATGTGACTCTGTGTAAGTGCATATGAGTGCAGGCCCCTGAGGGACCAGAAGAGGATCCCCTAGATATGAAGTTACAGGCAGTTGTGAACCATCGAATGTGGGTGTTGGGAACAGAACTTCAGTCCTCTGGAAGTACATGTACAGTACAGTACATGTTCTTAACTGCTGAGCTGCCTTTCCAGCAATGCCCCCCATGTTTATCTTTATTTAGATTTTTAACAAACACTACATATGAGTCACCCAATCTCTACCAGACCCATAATTTGATCACATTATGTTAGTAGCCATAATGGACTCACTCTTCTGTAGCAATGGCCATGGAGTAGCCATACAGGTTGTGGACATCATACTGCTTGCCCCAGTGCTGAACTGCATCCATGCAGAGAGTCTTAGAGAATAAGTGCCCATCCAAGATCTCTGAAACAAAAAAAGGAGCAGTTAGAGAAAGCCTTAAGTGCAAACTTCTTACTCCATAACTATCATACAACCTGCAAAGATGGTGGCACTGGGCAGGTAGTTACTGTGGCCATTCTGGAAGCAAACATACTGTGTTCTTACTATCAGAGGATGGTACGTTTGAGGTAGTCTCTCCGATACAAAAAAATGCATTGTGTTGCACATCCCCACACTCTCCCAATCCCTCAGAGGTAAGCATTTGGAGGCAAGAGAATCCAATTCGACTATATATTCAATCTGAGTTTTTTTAAACCAAGTTAAGTGACTCAAGATGAGAAATATAGACGAAAGTGTAGGTTAGTTTCTGTCTCTCTTTTTCCCCTGATCACGTATTATAAAGAATGGTTTCTAGCCCTGTTTCCATTCATACATTCTCTGTTCTACCACACCACTCTGGTTCACACACAAGTTGCCTGTGTAGTCTATTTATTACAAATTTCTTTTTTTATTGTTTATTATTTTTATTTTATGTGTATGCATGTGTTGCCTGCATGTAGGTAAGTGTACCCGTGTTGTGCAATGCCTACGGAGGTCAGAAGAGACTGTCAGATCCCCTGGACTGGAGTTACAGACAGTTGTTAGCTGCCATGTGGGTACTTGGTACTGGGTCTTCTGCAAAAACAACCAGTGTTCTTAACCATTGAGCCATCTCTCCAGCCCCTATTACGAGTTTCTTATGACTTATTTACTTCTGGTCTATTTTTCAAGTTCATGCTACATGTCAATGCCAGATAAATGCTTCTAAAACTGTTTGACTATCCTACTGCCCACTAACTAATATATAAATAGCTTCTGTTACTGAAAGAATGAAGTACAAACTGTTTAGCCTCCCATCAAACCTCTTCACCATTTGGTTCTGCCCCAATTTCTTAGTTTCTCACCAGACTGAAATCATCAAGTTATAATTCTGGAAGCTTTGTTCCTTTGTTCTCTGCTTGCTCAAGAGACAATTTGTTCTTGGGCCTGTAGTTTTCTTCAAACTAAAATTAATACTATGAGTCCAAGGCTATGCCCAGACAGTGTTGTTCAAAATTCAATCAAAGCTCCAGAGCAATGCATTCATTGGCCTCCCAGACCATGATAATGGACTTCATGTCATTCTATGGCTCACATCTGTCCTTCAGGAAGTGGACAGCCACAGATACATTATTATCCTGAAGACCAAGACTATTCATCTGGTCTTTCTCTAGCAAGCTCTGGCCAGTAAGGTGCACACTTGAGAGTGGCATAGACTAAACACTAGCATCTGGATTCTGAACTGCATGTGCTCTGGACCTTCCCCTAGAGCAGTATGAGCTAGGGCAGAAGGACTAGGTCACCCATTTAGAATTCATGCCTGTCAGAACACCACAGAGAGTATTCTGAGTTTCTTCCTTAGTTTTCTTTTTGTGTTACTCATATTTTGTAAAATATCACATATAGCTTGCCAATTCAATCAGGCATGAATGACTTACTTGGAGTGAATGGGGGATAATTTAAGTTGTTTTTTGCACATCCTGAAACTGAACCATCAACAAAGTTGGCGACTTCATTCATATCCTATGAGACAAACAGCAAAAAAAAAAAAAACTGTTAGGCAAAGTAATCTCCCACCGTGTTTTAAAGGGTGGTATCCTTTTTATTTTCCTTTAGGAATCAGAGAAATTACTCTAGATATTTCTTTTATAAAGAGTATCATCATAGATACAGAATGAAATAGATTCTCCTGTCTACTCACTGAAATTTTCATAGAGATAGACTTTAGAATAGCTTCAAAATGATGCAGATCTATAAACACTAAAAGTAAGCAATTCCTAAATATATTAAGCAAAAATTTAATTGATTTGATGTCATATAGTTCAACGTATAGTATCTATGGGTCCAACTATAACTATGAATATACATACATATAAGTATATAAGTATAAATGTATGCATAGACAGTAGTGTTAGAATGTCCATGTGCCAGAGCTGTGAACACTGAAGGTCTAGAAAGATGTAAAGCAGAACCCTGATGGATGCCTTTGGTTGTGATCCATTTCACAATTTCTTCATCTTTTGAGCTGACTGTCGTGTTTAAATTTTCTACAGTTCTCTTATAAATAGAAGACATTTCAAGTATAGAACTAAATTTTGCTGAATATCAGCTGTGGGTCGTTTGTTTTCATTTCACATTTCACGAGGCATTTCTCCTTACCACAGCCAGAGGGCACTTTGTGCCTGGGAACTTTGGCTCTGATTAATCTAATGTGTCTAAATGAAAAAATCTCAAACTAACACGCTGGTTCTGATTCTAAGATATGTGTGTGAGGATATTACTCTAATAGAAAAACATAAACTCTTAAGAACACGTGTCTTCTCCTCTTTATATTCCAAGGCTCAAAGCCATAGCAAAAGAAATCACGCTGCCTGAATAGCTCTAAGAATCAAAGTGTTAAAACTCACAATCCAGATTCCATCAAACTCCAGCGTTTTATGGAAAAGCTCAATTTCTTTTGCCCACCAAACAACACAGCTGGGATTGGTGTAATCCGGAAATACAGTTATTCCAGGCCAGACCTACAGGAGGAAAAAAAAAGGAAACACTGAAAAAAAATTAAGTGAATGTGTAATTAACCAAAACCCTTTACACAGGAATTCCTAATGCGATCATGGAGGCAGGGGCAGATTTTCAATATAAAGCAAATTACTCAGAGCACAGAGAATAACTGTCAGGAGAAATGAAGAGTCACTTGAGAAAAAATTTTAATTTAAAAAATTTTGGTTAACGTAAATGAATAAAGTTAAAGATAAAGGCGTAGTTTGCTCTTCTTCAACTCTGGTTCACCCTTCCCTGTCACCTCGTCTAATATCAAGTCTAGAAATCAAAAATGGAGGTGTATTCTGAACAAACTTCAAATGATCTATTATCATCTGTAGATTGTAACATCACTTCATATTCTTTATTTCTTCTTTATCCTATTTCCCTCAGACACTGTATTCTGAAAAGATTATCAAGTATTACAGATAAAACAGAAGATAATACTTTCATGAAAAACAAGATCTAGTAAAAATTTGAGAAAGAAATGGTTAAATGTATTAAATAATAAAGAGAAATTGAGTTAAGAGAGTCATGGCCCACTTCCCTTGGCTTTCCTGAGCCAGAAGTGACTAGTGTCATTTCCCAAGCAGTAAGCAGCATCTGTGAAGCAATGGGAAAAGAAAGGCCACAGTCACTGCAGAGGTGACAAGGTGAGGAAGGGGACACTTAGCAAGTTGTCAATTCATGGGACATGGCTGTGAACGGCATGTAAGAGCTACGGCAAATGGTAGGCAACTGGGCATGAAAAGGGAAAGAAAATTTATCCTTACCATGTCCAAGGCATTTGAACATCTGCCAGACAACCTCATACATGCATTCACACACAGAGAGAGAGAGAGAGAGAGAGAGAGAGAGAGAGAGAGAGAGCAATAGCCAAGACCACAGCTTCCTCATTAACTTACCTGTCCAATAAGTGGGTTTATGCCATCGGAAGCATTCACCCATATTTTCATTGTTGAACCCCTGTCATATGGGCCATAAGGATTGCTTGAGGAAGAGGCACTGGAAATGGCTGGATCCTAAGAAAGGGGAAAACAATGAATTGCTTTAAACTAGAGGCTCAACCTTAATAAAGTCCCTAATAAAATATGCACATTCAAATTATACCATTCAAAGCATAAAGTGTTATTACACTGAGGGCTCAGTAGGAGGAGGGGGACATGAGGAAGATGAGGATGAGCAAACACCTGGTATGGGAGAAAAAAGAAGGTATCACATACCAAGATGATGACAAGTTTCTGTCCATTATTGTGTAAATCCTTAGCAAACTCAGGGAAGCCTTTAAAATTCACTGGGTCATACGTGAAGTCCTTCCTCTGGTCCATGTAATCGATATCACCATGCTGAACATCCTGCAAGAATGCAGGAGTCCACATTTCAGGATCTAGGCAATTCTTCGTTAAAGCAAATCAGCAATTTATCACGATTACTGTTCAAGATAAAAGCCAACTCTGTGCTGGAGTCTAAACACGACACTATCAGTTCCTGGTATCCAAGTGTATCTTTTTTCCAGAGCAATTTAATAAGCAAATGATCTCATCATTTCCCAAAAGGCCCAGACCCTCCCCTGCAATCAGATTAACTGCATAATATGTAACAAATTACTGAGGCTATTAAAACTCATCCTACCCACAAGACACAGGGAAGAAGGGACTGTCTCATCCATTTCCTTCTTTCACTAGTCCAACAACTGTTTTGTTACTTCTACTACACTTTATTCTTTCCTGATCTTATATGAAAATAGTGGCGGCAGAACAAAATTTACTCTTGTCCTAAAACCCAGGTGTCCCTGTCCGGGAGAATGGGGAGGAGGAGAGAGAAGGATTGTTCTGGGGATTTTTGGATTTTCCCTCTCCATATCTTCTTGAACTTCATTTCCCACTGCAGCCACCAGTATACTGAGCACATTCAAAATTCGCCAAAGCGTGGACGTCTCTTTACATCGGTGCTCTGTCCTCTTGCTCTCTTCAACGTTAAGAGTTTGGCACCTGTATGCATCTCAGGGAACTGTGTTCATTTCCATTCCTCAAAGTTTCCTTCCACATTTACTCCACTATATACCAGTAAACCCAATTCTTCCATTTCCTAGTTCACTTAGGAAGCAAATGTCTGCCTTTGTGTAAGAAGAGAGACATAAAGAACAGAGAGCTTCTATGATGTCAGGGATCTGAACTGGCAGTCCAGTGCCTTTGCTTATATAATGCTAAATAGAGTTTATAACCTTAACTAGGGTTAAAACCACATTTTTGAGATCAGTAAAGAAATCACTGAGCATCATACCTGGCTTAAGCGGATCCATGGACGCTCTCATTACTCTGACAGCTTGGCATACTACTCTTAACTCTGTTCTACCTCTCCCATTTCTGCCCATTATTCCTCCTCACCCCCCAGAAATATAAAGTCCCTGAAGACTGGAGGAGAAGAGCATCCAGGCCTGTGGCCCAAGCGAAGACTGGGTTCACCCACTCAAATGTCTACCGCTATTCTCATTCCAGCCTTCTCTTAGTCTTGTGCTTTTAAAATACCAGTTCTTTCACATGATATATTTTTGCTTTCTTCCCCCAGTTCCAAAATATCCACTGAAGCTCTCCTTCAGATATAAAATGGCCACATCATACAGAAAAGCAAAAGTTGTTCTCTGTCTATTAAACATTAAGCAAAACACTAATGCAAAAACAAATGCACCTAAAACATGTTATATGATTTTATAAATCTAATTATAAATTCTGTCAGCAACAAGATACATGGTCCTGGTGAAATTACTCTCTTAATTTAACAGCATTTTCTTATCTGTGAAAATAAAAATGCTACAATTTAGATTACTTGGGCCTGAATCCAGTAGTGTACATTTTTGGTCTAACACTTTGGGATATAACATTAACTCCTCTTCTTCAATTTCCCCTCAAAATAGCTGTCAAAACATATTAAATGGGGCAGGATAGGAAGGTAGAGGATCTGTATCACTCATTATCTGACATAAAGAGTAAGAATCAAACTTATACCAGGATCTGAGAGGAGCCTTACAATATCACATTTATACTCAGACTCTGCCATGACATTTTTGAGTCAAAGCAATCCAACCAAGAACCAAGGTGAGAATCTACACATAGAAGTAATAAAAAGTTATAACCTGAGCTAAAGAAAGAATTAACTTGAGAACTCAAATAATGTAGCCAATACAGTTAGCACAAGAAAATGTACTAAATAGAATATATTGTTACAATAGCACAAAACCCAGGTTGCTACCTCACCAGTGCTGTAACTCTCCAAGTACAATGTCCTCCTGAAAGGAACTAGGCTTCTTTAAAAACATTATTGGTCTGACAAAATCTCCAGTATTATAATTGCATTGAAATCATTTTATTACAAAAGAGAACTCAAAGGGAGAAAGTCGGGGGGAAAGTAAGAGCAGTTCCCCTCATTCTCCATGGATTTGTGGTTTGGAGACCTGTTTGCAACCTTACTTACATAAGGGAGCTGTGCTGCACGGTTTCTGTCCACAACTTCTTTCATCTTCTCCAGGCTTCCGTAATCATATTGGCTGAGGTGAAATCCAAGTGACCAGTATGAAGGCAGGGCTGGTCGTCCAATGAGCTTAAATCCATACACAAAATAATGGTTAACAATATTGTATGTGTATTTGTAAAACTTTGTGTTTGTATGTGCATGTGCATGGGTCTGTGGGCACATGTAGAAGCCAAAGATTAATGCCAGTGTCTTCCTTAATCTGCCCCCACCTTATTTTTTGAGACCAGGTCTCACATTGAACCTGGTGCTCACTTTCTAGTCTAGGCTGATTGGCCAGCATGGCCCAAGGAGTGATATTAAAAGTGTGCACTGCTGCACCCAGCTTTTTACTTAAGTGCTGGAGACCTGAGCTCAGATCTTCATACTTATATAGCAAGCACTTTACCAATTAAGCCATCTCACAGCTCAACAATAAACTTTTTAAAAGAAAACTATCTTTACGCATTGGTTTCGGTACACAAAAATATACTCAATTTCCAATGCATTGATTCTTTGATGCTGGAATGTTAATCTACTTTTCTTGCTCCCCTTTTAAGAGTGGGGCACACTTGGAACATCTTTATATTCTCTCACCTTTTTATAACATAAAAATTTAATAAAGCAAATATCCACTACATATATGAGGTTTATACTATGAGATTGCAAGTTTATCACACTTGCAATCCAAAATCACACTTGCATATGAAGCTAACTTCTCTTAAATATTTGCTACATAGAATTTTCTTAGTTATAAACATGATGTCATATGTTTACCTCTAGATATTCTTGAACAACTTGCTCAGGTGTGTTTCCCAAGAACACATAGAAGTCCAGAATACCCCCAGTAATTCTGTATGTGATTGCTGGGGTGGGCTGGAGGGCAATCTCTTAAAAGATCAAAAAATAAGAAAACAAAAATTAGAATTTATTTTATTGTAATGACTATAAAGCTTTATACCAGTAGATCACTAACCAGTTAAACATTAATAAAGTAATTTTAATGCTCCACATTTTATATATAAAGAAACAAATTCTTATACACATGGGAGTCAACGTGTACGTTCAATGACACCTCAATAGCAGGAGACTAGAGTGTCTCAGCCCCTGTACCAGGACCACAAAAAGAGTTTAGAATAAGCCACTGCAGCATAACACTGATTTGGCACTGGAGACATTTGATACTGTACCCCTGTTTTACCTAAAATCAGAGCCTCCCAAAATATCAACTATCACAAATCTACTCCACAGGAGCGACGCTAATCTCCTCTGAGACAAAAAGCACCAACAGATATTGTCACAAGATTTTCACACCTCCTGTCTGTTCTCTGGACCCACGTATCTTTCCAACAGTCACTTGTTTTACCTTAAGTGCCTATCTTCCTTTGCCTTTCACTATTAAGATGGCGTATAAGCCTCAAGGTATAACTATCTCCTTCAGGTACTCAGCCCTGAGCACACCTGTGTATGTATACTTTGCATGTGCAAATAAACTTGTCTTTTGCTTGCTGATCTTTCTTTCTGTCCATTTAGTTTGAAAGCCTCCAAGAATTAAATTTAAGAAGGTAGAAGAAAAATCCCTCTCTGAACATGTTCTTAGTCTATACCTCAAAAAGCTAGACACTCTGAAGTACTAACCTCAGTGAATATCATCAAGGAAGAGTCAGAGGTGATATCATAAATGCAAAGTCCCTTTAAGCAACAATCACCACTTTCAGAAATAACCTACAAGCCTTGGTTTGCACTGAGAGATAAAGGGCCTCAGAGCCTTCTGAAATGCACTCTTTGGACATAGGAATAATTCACACAGAGAACCTAGGACCTTGTAGCTTTACTGTGAAGTCTGACTGGTCTCATTTTCTGATTCCTTTTAACTACCTGAAACTGTACAGATATTGTGTTCTTTTAGCACTTAGACTGCTAGTACTGTAGAATTTTCTTAGATCACTTAGATTGCTTCTCAAAAACTGTGGTAAAGAATGAGATCTTCCTTGTTTATTTTGTCTTTCATTTATTGAGAACACAAAAGAACATGAAAATGAATTACGAGGGAAAGGCAGGCTCCTACAGACCTTTAGATTCTAAAACAGTGCTCACCCTCAATGTCTACACTCATCTTACATGGACATGAAACATTGTGTGAACCATCTCCGTGCACAACACTGATTTAATCCAATGATCCACACTTAGGAGTGTAAGGATCAATACCCTAGGCCCACCATCAACCTGGGAGATGCTGATTTGTTGCTCTTCTTTCCCTGTGGTGATTAAATAGGATTGTCAGTGGAGACTACTGAATGTAGGGTTAAGGAGGGGCACTGTCCATGGGTAGAAATTGTCTCAGAGGAGATTACAGGGAGAGTTATCTTAACTCATTAACAGCAAGTATTCCAACAGATTCTGGAAGTGAGAAGCTAGAAAAGAATCCTCTGAACATGGCTCCCATGAGTCGACAGCTAGAGAATGCAGACATCCTAAAGCTATGCTTTAAACATTCTTAAAGGATTCACATCTTTAACCATAACACTGTAGAGCTGGTACTGATAAATGATTCTGTGCTTGTTTGCTTTTAAATATTCCTTTGGTTCCTTACCCATGGCATTGCTGTTCATCAGAAATACCCCAAAGGATAACCCACTGTCATCTTCCAGGCACAGGAAGAATGTCTGAGCACCATACAAATTAGTTCCATCCTATAGGAAGACAGTTAAAGACCAAAACTTTATAATTAGTCTAAACATTATATCACTCAATTGGCTTGGAAACCACTATTAATCCTCTGAGGAAACTCATGGCTAATGAGGATGCAAATGGATTGTAAAAGCTGAGGTCTCTATTTAGTGGATGTTAACCAAGTGAACTGGTGTTTTCTCATATAATGAGCCAACTAAGACCATCAATCCAGTAGGTATGTGGAGATCCTGATTTTCATCAAAACATAAAAAGATGAGCATTCTGAAACTTTTATCCACAAAATGTCTTTTCTAAAAGAGGCCTGCCTTATCCCGACTTAACCTCATCTGAAAAGTCTCTATTGAGTTTTAATGTAAATCAGCAACTATATGGAGCTCAGAGCGACCAAAGCCCACATCTCCACACAGTGTTCTCAGGCTCCACTCCTTGAGACACAAAGGGCTTAAGGCTCTTAATTAGAACACTATCACCAGCTTCTCTACATAAACTGCTCTGATAACACATTTTCTGCTTTTCTGGTGGATATTTGTGTTAGCAAAGAGCATATGTTGGGTGGGAGAGAGTAGGGATTGGTGCCTGTCTCTTCTACCTATGAGTAATTGTACCAGAAGCTATTAACTTGGCTTCTCTGAAATAATCTTTCTTTCACCAATAATTTTTATGAGTTCTTTGGCTAAGTAAAAATATCATACAAATAGAATTGCTTGATAAATTATTCCTATTATCTCCTTTCAGCCAGTCATCTGTCCTGTTTACTCAGGAAAGCTTCTAAACTGTAAAATATTGCTAAACCCAGCAAAAATAAATAAATAAATAAATTGCCTCAAATTTTAACAGTCAAAGCCACAAACATAAAACCAAAATGAAACAAAATATTAACAGTAAAACTGTCAGTTCTTTGTTCGCTCCAATCATTCTTGTCATAAAAATGATTCACATGTTGCTTTGTCTGAGACTTTATCCACTTTTGCTGACAATCTGGTAAGTTGGAGGTATTAAAAGGTCAACTTAAAAATATGGTGGTCCCCTAAGTCTAGTCAGCCTATCTAGAGTCCCCCCAGTGGGCCTTTACAGGGATGACCATGTATATGGGCTCTGGTGGGGGAGGGGACTATGGGAGGGTGCCAGTGGGGATGGGGATATAAAGATGATTAAGAGTGTTTAAGCTGTTCTGTATGAAGCACACAAAAAATTCAATAAAAAGAACAAATAATAATAATAAACACCTTTAAATATATGGTGGCCATAATCAGAGTGAAGACATTAATATTTTCCACAATGGAATTTACTGAACATCTTTTATTTACTTCTAGGGTCTTTAAATATGCTACATACATCAATTTATCTAATCCTTACCACCACCCTATGAGACAAGCATGTTACCTGTATTCTAAGTCTCATGCTTTAGCAATTGAGCCACCTGGGCACCAGTCATTAGCCCCACTGTATAGATGAGGCATTGTATAGATGAGCACTTATCATTAGCCACACTGTATAAATGAGGAAAATGAAGACTCAGAGAGGTCAGTGACTTGCCCAGAACCATGTAACTCTAAGTAGAGGACCTAAAATTCAAAGTCAAGCAGTCTTACTCTAGAGCCTCACTCTTAACACAATATTATGCTGATAGACATGACTTTCAAGATTAAGGCTATGATAGTCAGAGGAAACAGGCCCCTGAAAGCTTACCTCATTGGGGATTGTGTCTCTAGCAAATATGGGCCAGGTCTTCCAATTCATGTCATGCCGGTACTGCTGGTGCACATGTTCCCCTAGACCATATACATTAGTACTTGGCAGGAGGGTGGAGAATTGCAGGTATTGATCTGAAAACAGGAGGGGCCCAATGCTTGAGTCAAACCTAAACACAGGAGGAAAACAGAATGAGTGACAAATGAGGTGAAGCTGACATAACTGCTTAGACAGGCACATTTTATGGCTCACTGACTCAATCTCTATCCCATTTTCCCTCCTATGACATCTTCCTAGGGATACGAAGAGACAAAATGTCTCTAGGTCAGATACCATTATGGCACAGTTCTTATATTTGTCCCTCAGATGCTCTACCACATGACCAAGGTGCTGAACTCATGATCATAGATATTTAGTAAATATTGTGTTATGTTCATGTGATTAGATAGATGGAAGAAAGAAAGGGAAGGTGTTGTGGAAACATCAGAAGAAAAGGAAGGAAAAGATGGATAGATGATAGATAATAGGGAGAGATGATAGATGATAGATGATAGATAGATAGATAGATAGATAGGTGATGATAGATGATAGATAGATGATAGATGATAGATAGATGATAGATAGATAGATAGATAGATAGATAGATAGATGATAGATAGATAGATGATAGAT